CAAGAATTTAGAAATACGGTGGAAAACAGTCATTCATCAAAATGGTGCCTATTTCAACTAAATAAATTAGTTCATTATTTACATTATTCAGACTATTGTCCTCATCTTTGTCGCCATATTTATTACAACGTTTCAGACGTTGTACGATCCGGCCTTCTTCAGGTGGTTGGGGTGTCGAACTGAACTCTTTATTTCGCTCACTGAGGTAGACTGTTCTAGTTCCGCGTGCCATGTTTAATGGATGTCAGTTATCAGTTATCTCCTGTTAATTTTCCCTCTGAAAATTCTACACTGCCTTAACCGCCTATTGAACTCACACTCTTTGAGTCCTGTCACTGGATCTAACCAACGCCTTTATCCACTGTGCCATGTGTCCTTGAGGACCCGGTTAAGGCAGTGGAGAACTTTCAGAGGGAAAATTAACAGGAGATAACTGATAACTGACATCCATTAAACATGGCACGCGGAACTAGAACAGTCTACCTCAGTGAGCGAAATAAAGGGTTCAGTTCGACATTCCAACCACCTGAAGAAGGCCGGATCGTACAACGGCTGAAACGTTGTAATAAATATGGCGACAAAGATGAGGACAATAGTCTGAATAATGTAAATAATGTACATAATACCTCATCTCAGAAATATAGACGAATAAATTAGTTATTTAACATTTCAGAAGCATTTTATTCGTTTCCTATTAAGTGCGTCATTTCATGTGCGACAACCTAATACTGTCATGATTTTTTCATGAACTTTCTTAATATCCAGCGTGCAAGGTAACAAGTTGAAAAATGCAACAAAGGAGTTTACTTTAGAAGAGCACAAAAAATGAAACCAGACTCTGTACTAATTTCATTAATACCACGAAACTAACCGACAGTATATTATCGATTCATCTAATATAGTCTAGTTCCATGTAACCGTTTTACACATGAAGTTACTTTGGACTAAATCGAATCCAAGTGCTCCAAAAGATGCCAGAGCGTAGACAGCAAAATCTTGTCTGCTGCACTAACAACACCCAATTCTTGATAATAACTGAGACCGTCGAAAGTACTTGAATAATAAAAAAAGGAACAAAACATGATCTTCGGAGAGTCTATCTACAATTTTGTATTCTTGCTGCTCTCAAGAGGGCTACTATTTTAAACTGGCATAAACTTCAATCTATTACCTCAAAATAATTCAAGTCAATACACATTATAATATGTATATCCAAGTTTACTTTGTTGCAAGCAAAATATCAAGATATTTGCATAGTTTTCTCATAACATATTTTTCCACAATCGATTTGAATGCCGCTCGTAATTTTCTATCTTATATGTGTATGTGTGCATGAGCGTGTGCACGCGCGCGCGCTGAGTTTTATACACGTTAAAAATAATACCTTTATGAGTTTATATACAGTTGAGGAACTGCGATAAACGTGCACAATAAAATAAAACACGTGATAAATCTACACAAATACTTCCCCAAAGGTTCTATTTTAAACCAGCAGCAACAACCTACGCCTTTTTCTTTTGTCTTGTTTTTTAAGTGACTCGTATTTTCTCAGAGAAGTATTTCATATTTCCCTTATCTTCGTTAGACCCCATTTTTTCCCAACAATTTCCATGACGAACCGCGCCCACATAATCATATGGTCATTTCCTTAGCTTTCCGGTTTTGATACTGTTATAAATCTCAAGTCGAACTAAAGGCAGATCACATTTCGACGAGACAAGATTCTTTTTTTTTTGTATATATCATCGTCCAGAATTGATAGATGGTTGTAAAACCTTCCACAGAAAATAGTGTTTTTTTTAACTACTAAATATAAATATATAAAAAAAAAACAAATTCTTTATGTGCTGCTATAATTTATTACTATACATTTTGACGGGGAGTTTGGCGAGTAAATAACTAGTAATTAGAAGCAGTAATCTGGTCATCATCATTTTAAATCAGAAAATGCAAACGTCTTGTGTGCTACTATATTTAATATTTTGGGAACTATTTTTTCTGTCTTTTTTATATTCATCGTAATCTTATATTGTGTTGGATTGTGATACACGTAACAGAAATGCAACAGATATATGCAAGACAAATTATACGGATTATAAGTATACAACATCAAATCGGTACAAGGTCAATATCAACATACACACGATTGTACTACGCATGTGCGTGCTTCTGCATGTGCGTATGTGTGTGTGAAAGAAAGAAAGAAAGAAACAAACAAACAAACAAACAAACAAACAAACAAACAAACATGGGGAAGGCAACAGAAAGAAAGAAAGAAAGAAAGAAAGAAAGAAAGAAAGAAAGAAAGAAAGAATAAACAAAAGGAAGGCAAATGGAAGAATAAAGAAAGATTAAGCAAAAGAAAGAAAGAAAGAAAGAAAGAAAGAAAGAAAGAAAGAAAGAAAGAAAGAATAAGCAAAGGGAAGGCAACTGGAAGAAAAAGGAAAGATTAAGCAAGAGGAAGGCAAAAGAAAGAAAAAAAGAAAGAAAGAAAAATAAACAATAGGAAAGGCAAAAAAAGAAAGAAAGATTAAGCGAGAAGGCAAAAAAAAGAAAGAAAGAAAGTATATTTTCTTTGATTTCAGAATCTATAATGTAGTATGTGATTTCACGAATGTGATTTCACGAATGTGAATCGAATTTAATTTCAATCAAGAAATTTTAATTTAAGAAGAGTTGATCTGTGGTGACCCCAATATGTACTGGCCTCACTCGAACAAAATAAATTTTGCACTCAGTGTCACACTAGAGCGTCAGAGAAGCCAGGTACATCAGCGGGTTGACCTGGAAGGTGGCGCATAACCGCAGATGCAGATTCGCGCTTCATACGATGTCAACAGCTGCCACTAACATGGAAATAAGGTCGAGATAGCTGTGCTTAGAATGAAAAGAAGATAGATAAGCGTCCCTTTTCTGAGGGAAAAGACAATCTCTCATATCCTAACGAGAAAATTCACGCTCGCAGAAAACAACCTGAAGCCGATATTAATTCATTCCTTTTAAAAAAAAACATGTATATGTATACTTCGATAGATAACAAGGATTTGGTACATTTACCATTATTAAAGCAATTTGCAATTTTGTGCAACAGTAGCCCTTCCGCTGGCTCGTACTTGGCGTGAAAGCCTGTGCTCAATTCTCGCCCAATATCTTGTTAGTGATTTTCTTCACTTTGACCTACTGGAAACAGGTACTCACCACAAGGGAACCGACACATAAGCAGGGTCGATTTTGAAATTCTTTGACCTAATCTTCTGGCCATAAAGATGTTGGACTTTTTTTGAAAAGTCATATAGATTTTTCTTCATGCCTATAACTGCAGTATTCACTTGACTCACTTCTAATAGTTGACTACTTCTTCTACGCGCCGCTGACGAATCTTATATGTGTTGGTCGTGTCCTACGTATTTTCGTTCATTACCAACCTTCGTTTGATTATTCTATTCAGTAACCTTCCCTAGGTTACTACACAATGGAAAATATCTTTTTGTACAAATTTGAATTTCTATATTCATAAATATTAACCAGTGACGTCATATGTGACGCAAGGCAATCTTTTAATTTTTCAGGCAATAAATATTGGTTGTTTGCTACGAAATTTTCGAGGGTCTCTTCAGAAAATAATCCACAATATTTCCCTCCTTAAAATAGATATTTAAAAATTGGAAAAATATTTATTAACCAATAAATTTAGAGTTTAGTAAAATCTAAAATATTTTTGGAGCCTATATTATTCTTATAAATAGGATGATGTGAAGTTATTAAATTATTTTTTAGTTAACCTTTGACCAGGGTGGTGGTCGTTTGTTGTACAAACTAAAGTTCCCAAACCTTAATCAATTACTCATATTTTCTCATATTTATTCGAGTATACCTTATTACAAAAATGGCTTAGCGATATTGACACAAAAAATATACGGACCGAATTATTTGTCAACAACAAATATTAATAACACCGTTTACATACCGTCTTGGTTACTTCATATCAGCTGCTGATTGCTAATATTTACACGCATAGATTAAACAACGTAAATATGTGATACACACATTCTCACGTTTAGAAGCATTCTGTTTCTTCCATACTAACACAACTGATTCGGTTGTATCGTAAATACAACAAAAATATTTTGTGTGAAGTTATTTCGCAAAATATCTTTGTAATCCATTTCTTTCAATTTGAAAGAAATTTAATACTCATAATAACATAATAAATATTTAAACTTGTAAAGCCGTGTTGAAGATTGTTTATTTCTTCATTTTATCCACACATATTCTCTCTCGCTCTGTCTCTCTCTCTCCATATATATATATATATATATATATATATATATATATATATATATATATGAGTGAACACAGAAGTCAACACTTAGAGGCGACAGTCTGTTTCATGCTAGATGCAATCGTCAGGCCTGACGATTGCATCATGAAACAGACTGTCGCCCTAAGTGTTGACTTCTATGTTCACTTTATATTTACACACGCTCTATCTCTGATATTGAGCACTTTGTTCCATAAATATAGCACATCTTAAGACTATATTTCTTCATATATATATATATATATATATATATATATATATAAATTGGATTTTCATGACGATCTCTTCAATGTATGACGGTCTACAAGTCTAACAGTTCAGTTTTAAAATTGAACCCGTAGACTACCCATATGATTTGATTATAGTGGGGAAATATTATGTAGAACCAGCCACATTTTCAAAAGGATTGATAACAGAGAAATAGTGCAGAGTGTCTCACGAAGTCTCCAAACAGACCAGATATCAGACTATTCTTTTCCTAGATTGGTTGCCAACTCAACCGAGAGATACAATGTTCTTCTGATACAAGTTAATCTTCCTGGGGAAAAGAGGTGGATTCATGCCTTTCTCAAGGATATTTTCGCGTAAGTATATATAACGAACCGGACTGGAATTGAAACTCGACTCTCCCATTTCCAATTCCGAGACGTTGTTCATTGCACAACTCTCACATTCAAGTTTACAGCACCTGGTATTCTCAAGGAGTCGCCTATCTAGTTACTGACCAGGCTCGACGTTGCTTAACTTCAGTGATCGTACGAGAATCGGTATTTCAGTGTGATATGGACGTATGCCTGAGACACCTCAGCCCTACACCTGCCACAGAGGGCAATGCTCCTAATTCGTAATACGGAGTTTGTCCTTTAGATCATTTTGAACAGCCTTCATCACTAACACATGATATAATGCCTTGATCGACAACAGCTGGGTGTCCGAGTGGCCTTACTTAACGCGTGAGAAGATTTTTTAGAGCGATACGATACTCGTGATCGAAGAAGCACTAGACTCTGGGTACACTGAGAGCATTCCCCTCGTCTGAGTGCATACTTCTAGAAGCATGGAAGGTCTTCTTAGCGTCTTCTTCCCAAAATTCGCCATTAGTCGTATTTTAAGAAAAGATTTGATCTAGGGAACTGACACTTAACTTATGTCGACGCATCCCAACGCAAGTTATGCCTAGACCGCCTTCAAACACGGGGTGGTAACAGATCTCTCGACGCACAATAGGAGCCTTGATGCCCCACAAGAGGCTAAAGAAAACTCGAAGTAAATCAAGTAGCTCGGTACAGGGGAGTGAAAAACCGAAATGTCGGTGAATAAAGATGGGTAATGTGCGAGGCACAAACTTCCGTCCTCCCCTTTAAGGAAAGGTTCGGACGAACTGTGGCCTTGACCTTCAACCAATACTTCTCCAGTATGAATCGGGACTAAACCAGACGTGTTCGGGTAGAATGGAGTGGATACACATAGTGATTTTATAAGCGTAGCTTAGATGTGGGCACAACACCAAATGTATGGGACACCCATCGAGAATTGAACTCATTACTCAGTCGTAATTGTTCTTGAGAGACAAGCTTGATAACCATTACACCACGTTGAAGTGCCCAAATAGTGATTTTCAAAGCGCTGCATAAGTGTGGTTAAAGACCGAGGGTATGAGATACCCAGTGAAGATCGAACTCACTAATCAGTCGCAATTGTTCTAGCAAAACAATCTTGATAATCATTACACCATGTCAAGGTGTCTAAAATGGTTTTCTAAGCGTAGATTAGATGTGACACAAAAAGAGTGGAGCAATGAGTGAGGATCGAACTTACAACTCAGTCTAAATTGATTTAGGCTCGATAACCATGACGCACAGTCGAAGCGCAACGGAATAAATACTCATGTGTTGATTATTTAAATTTGTTGGTCTTTTATGGTCCAATTACATGTGTAAAGTCAGCGGGCTTAATCAAAATGAGAATCCGTGATAAAAAAAAAAATTAATTTTCTGTAATTATTTCGTGAAAATGTTAACGGCCCTCTTTTCACGTTATCTCACCTGCATACGAACATTTCTTCAACATACATATATATATATATATATATATATATATATATATATGCATTCTCATATATATGCCTTTTAACACACATTCGATCATAAATACAAGCAGATATCTTCAGAAAATTCTCTTTCGCCTCGTTCTCTTCATCTCGTTGGCTTACATTCATATATTGAAACACCGATCCTCGTCCGATCGCTGAAGTTAAGCAACGTCAAGCCCAATCAGTACCTAAATGGGTGACTGCTTGGGAGGACCAGGTACTGTAAGATTGGATGTGGGGTGGTGTAATGGATAACGGCTCAAAATTGGAATCGAAGAGACGAGTTCCAATTCCAATCGGGTTCGTTATATTCACTTACGACCAAATACCATTGGGTAAGCTGCGAACTGACCTCTTTTACCCCACTATGGGTTAATTAGTAGAACTTTTATCAATAAATTATTATTATGTTCCCAAAATTGTTATAATCTAAAAATATTTTCTGCCTTTAAAATAACCGGCAAAGAGTTGATAATCCGTAAAAAACTAAATCAATCAATCTTCATCTCGTTCGTTTGTTTATTAGTCTTTCTTTCCGTGTAACTCTTCGTCTGCTATCCAGCACATCTTATTTCTCTTTAAATCTCTTTGGGAACTGAAGTTTTCGGATGATGTGAAAGTTTCATATAATATTGTCCCTATTTCTTCTCTTCATTATTGCTAGTTGACAGCCAGAGAAAATTCTTGTGAACGTCAAGTTTCAGAACGTATAAGTTTTATGAAGACGAGAAAAACTGCAAATAACGGTAGTTAAAGTCATTTTGATGGTCATTATTGTGTCTATTCATTTGAACTTGAAATCTGTTCTACGTTTCTATATAGTTTTATCTTAGTAAGGTATTCATTGAGGATCGAACTCACCAAACTTGCCTGCAGAATATCAGAATTTTTTTAATCAGCTATCTACATCAGATACCAATTTACTTTTTCTTGTCAAAGAATTCACTAATTAAACTATAGGTACCAACACTTGTTGATACAAAGATTAATGCATCCTGTTAATTGTCCAGTTAAGTCAAATTCGGTATAAGGCCATTTATGAGAGATCAAATGAAAAGAGAATTCACTGGTAATATGACGAAGTGAAAATATGATTCAGTCTAAATTAAATTAGATTTACTTTTAAATCCTTTGTATTAAAACGTCATTACTTTGCGAACACTCTAATAAATATATTTCTTTAAAGATTAAGGTGTTCGGAAAATAATGCCGTTTTAATAGTAATTATATAAAAACAAATGTATGTTAAATTTATTAAAATATTATTTATCAAAAAAGGCCATCTGTTTAATTTTTCAAGGACTGCAACCAAACAGGAAGGAAATATTCGTTTCCACGTTTAAAAAAATTTGGGCGCTTGAAAGAATGTCTTCATATTCTTTTCTTTTTCTCAATGTTCTGCCACGTATGAAATATTCTAATGATCGAAACAAATGAAGATCTGTAGGTGCTAAGTCGATTAAGTATAAAGGATGAAGCAAACCAAATGTGACTCAAAGATCGACGTTTAATGTAGGTTTTTCGGCAATACCTTAGAAAAATTCTCAAGCTCCCTAGGTACTTCCTCTTTTTTTTGGGGGGGGGACTCCTCAGGAGCCGGGTATTGACCTCAGGCCCTCTCGAAGGAGAGTCACTGCCTGGCGGGATGAGCCGCTGGGCGTTGAGTAAATATTAGTGGTAGAGGCACGAACAACTGTACCGCCCAGTCATACTTGTTTGTATCACTGGTATTTAGACAAGCGCCCACGGCGCAAAAGTAATGACACAATGGTCGAGTTTAATGTGGGTTTATTGGCAGTACCGTGGAAAAAATTCTCAAGCCACCTCGGTACTTCTCCTTTTGGGACGCTTTAAGTACCGGGTACTAACCCCAGTCCCCTGCAAGCTATGTAGTTTTTTGCTCGTTTTGCTGGCTCTATTTAACATTGTATACACTGTTTGTGGCACAAGGCCGAAAGAGGGAGAGAAAAAGGCTGGTCCAGGCTGTGTACACTACTCCTAACTAATCTGATTCACGACCCATTTATAACAAATGACGAAATCAGCACAAGAACTCATCCCTCTCCATTCAAACCAAGCCTGTACCAAAATACCGCACTTTCGTAGGAGGAATCTAATAATACATTATCCATTTCATTGTGCCCAAATTTGTAGTTACTTTCTTTTAATCAACTCTCAGGCGAATCCATTCAACTTCCTTTGGGATACCCAACAATTACTTATAGGTTGATCTGATACAAAGAATGACAGTTTAGATATTAAATAGCAAAACTGAAGTCTGTGCATGTTTTAGAAGGTTCCCTGCAAATATGCGGTATTTTGGTAAATGTCAGATTGTGTGTAAAAGGATGGTTTCTTGTGATGATTGAGTTAATTGTGAGAGTAAATGGGTCGTGAGTCGGATTAGCTAGTTGTAGGATAGTCAGTGAATACCAGCCTTTTCCCACTTCTATTTCGGCCTTGAGCCAAATACAAATGTAAATTTGTAAAATAAACTGAATTCTTTGCTTGTCGTCTTCGGTCTCATACCTTTGAGTCTCACATGACAATAACTTGGACGCTATCTACTTATTTTATTATATTTGCATAAGTGTTTTTATTGTTAACATTGGTCTCATAGTATATGTGACCCAAGTGTTCATCATTTCAGTCATCTTTTCCATGAAATGTCATACTTGGTATTTACTCTGTCTCCCCACTAAGACGAGTTGTGAAAAAAAGGTCTTTTTTAAGGTGGGGACCCGAGCGCGAACACCCGGACCAGGAGCAAAAATTGCCCACAGACCCCGCAACCGTCGGTTGCGCTGGCGTCGGTGCGAGCACCGATCCCTCTCTCTGGTGCAATGAGAGGGCGCGGCCTCGGGCAGCTGTTCCCTAGGGCTGGGCACTTCTCAGTTTAATTTTTCTCATTGCGACTCTGTCCTTTGACAGTGTCGCCCCTGAGAGCACTCTGCCCAAAGACAGAAATGAAGCGTCATATTATGTCAGCGACGAGACATGTTGCTCCCTAGTGAGAAACGGTGAGCAGGAAGAGGAGGATTATGGCTTTTTTTCGAAGATATCAGTGAACATAAAATTATGCTGAACACAATTAAATATAAAGGATGTTCCAATAGCTTGGACCGATTTTAAATGTGAATTAAGTTTAAGCGTCTAATGATTTTTTTCTTTTTCTTTCAGATTTGGCGGACATTTGGGCAATATTATTTGTCAAACATAATTGCTAACATGATCGACATGATAACATGATCCAATAGAGAAATGCCTTTTCACCAATAAGACTGATTTTTTTACTGTTGACTTTGATCCGTCTTAATGAAACACCCATATATATTATTCGTCTTAATGAAACACGCTTTATATGATTATTATGATGCTTTTGAACATAAATTTTTAGCCGAAATTCAAACTCCGTTCGCCTCTTCCGTTTCCTTTACTAGTGACAGTTACCCCAACCCGCTCATAAAATAAAGGATTTTTTCAGCGCGCCTACGTTGCTACTGAATGTGACACAAGTTCGAGATTTAAATTGGTTTACCTGAAGAATACTGTGGAAATATTTAGTCCTTTTTCCACAGTATTCTTCAGCACTACCCATTTTTAGGGTCGCCTCAAACGCCGGGTAATGACCCTCAGTCCTCTCTCGAAGGACAGGATGGCATCATGGATTTGAGATAATATTAATTTTCGACATTCCCAGCAACAAATGGTGATGTATACGATCACTTTTCGAAATTTATGTCTGGCACTATGTATGAACAATCTCCGTTCTTTCTGATTTCATTATTAAATCACTTTAAAGTTTTCTTTTTATGTGTCAAAAATAACTTTTAAAGACAAAAGGCAATTTTGCTTCATTTAGGACCAGATGTTGATCTTCCCTCTCACCTTAGCTCTAACGTCTAAAGCGGGGAGGCGGAAACACTGGCTTGTTACATTCAATGTATCGAAAACCTAACTAGTTACATTTTATCATCACCAATCACAATAAATGTATGTTCATATCTTGAGAGTTCGTATCTTGAGCATCTATTGAGACACAAACTCAACCCAGGCCTCAAGTGGAATGTACAAACCATCGCTAAAGATGCTGGAAAAATGGTCGGTTCTCTGTATCGTTCTAGTAAGTACCAGATTCCTCCTAGTATCTCCTTACCTTCACAAGAGCCAAATCAGGCCTAAAGTTGAGTACCGTTACCATATATGGGCACTAGCCTCCGAGTCCTCACTTTCCCATTTCAACTCAGTTCAAAAGCGCTTCCGCGTCCTTGTGGGTGACAAATTATTTTTCAACCTACAACCCCGTTCTCAAATACGAAACGTCGCAGGCCTCTATCGCTATTTCCATGGGAAATGTTCAGACGAATTACATTCCTTAGTTCCACCAGTTTTAACCTTCACGGCTAAGACCCGCCATTCTGTAGCGAACCAATGTCGTATTACGCTGGTGAGATGTATGTTCCACTCGAGCACCATTTTCCTACGAACCGCTGTTTTGTGGAATCGACTCCCAAGAGGATGCTTTCCCGATCACTACAATCATAACCTGTTCATGTCTAGGGTTAACCGTGATCTTCCTCAAATATCTGCATAAACTATGCCTCCTCTGTGACCCTCTACCTCGAGTGGCTCTCAGGCTTTGTACAAAGTGAACATCGCTCTAAAAAATGTTTTTTTTCATTTATTTATTTATTAGAGAGTATAAGGTTTGTTTAAACATGTCAAATACATTTACTTTGAAGGTCTTTGTTTAGAACGAAAGTAAAAGAAGGAAGTGTTTTGAAAATTAAAAAAAAAAGAGTTAAAAAAAGGAAACTAAATTAACAGTTTTGAAAATGGAAATAATAACAAATAATGTTAACATTGAGACGTATAAGTATAGACGTGAAAGAATGTGAAAAAAAATGGCATCTTTTTTTCTTCAGTTTCTTCCTCTCTTTTTTCTTGCCCTTTTTTTTTCTTCTTTTCTTTTTTAAACATTGGAAAGATGCCAACAAGTACAATTACGAAGGCCAGGGTTAGGTAGGACAAATGTTGTAAGAACCATCTATACCACTTGTCCACTGAAGCTGTCGACATTTTTACACTCATGTACAAACAAACAGAAACGATTTCACGCAAATAACCATTTTATTAATCCAGGGCTTCTGTTTGCGTGTGTGCGTGTGTGTTTTCTTTTTCTTTTTTTTTCCTTTTTTTTTTATTTTGCACCCAGATGACAACTAG